AACAGGACAAATACAGAGGGTGAATCTCCCCTGCAGCAATACAGGTAGCAAATACTTGACAGAGGTTCCAAGCCCTCCACACTCCATTGCCATTTAAACATTTTTATCTTAACCATACTTTACAGGACACAGACTGAGTACTCCTAGACCCTAGTTTTTAGGCTCTTACCCTCAGATGTTTGGACTCTTGAGGACCTGTCCTGTGGACACCTTCGTTATAACCCTATCCCACTCTGTGAGTCCTCTTCTTTTTTTTTTTTTCTGGTGTCTTAAGGTGATAGACCTCTTCTCCCTTTATGAAGAAATCACTCCTAGCTTAACTTGTCTATTATTTTATGTTCAGATTCTTCAATCAACACCTTACAGTTTCTAATACCACATCATGCCTGCATAGCATCAGCGCTCTACTGATCAATGGTGGAATGCTTTCCAGGCTCCTTTGGACAAAATAACAAATGTGCATTTATTATTTTTGTCCAAAAGGTGAATTTAGCCTAAGGATTTTATTCAAACCTGTTCACAGTTCCAAAGCCCAATTTTCCTGTACTAAACAAATCCCTTCAAATTCCAAAATTTTACATGAAATCTGCAAGGTTGGTTATTGCCTCTCTGAGACAAGGGGCATTGCTGGCATCAATCGACATCCAAGATGCCTATCTGCATATTTACATTTTATCCACCTCATCAGCATCTTCTGCACTTTGCAGTGGATGACAATTTCTAGTCACACAGCGTTTTGCCTATCCTCTGCTCCTAGAGTATTCACAAGGTACTAGCATGTTCTAAGAACTCAGGGTATCCAGGTCAGATGTCATATGAATGACCTTCTCCTGAAGGACTCCTCTCCCTTCCAAATGTTTGAAAATATCAGGACAATTCAGATACGTCAGGCTTGTGGCTGAATGATTAATTTCCAAAAATCTACTTTCCAGCCTTTCTTTGCCTGGAGCACTTGAGTCTGGTCTTAGAGCATGTTGCATGGAAGCAAAACCTTTGCTTTGGGATGTGTCCAAGAGCTTATGCTTGGGAATTGAGGTCAAAGAGACATCCCACAATAAGATTCTCCATAAGAGTGCTAGGCCTTTTGGTAGCCTCCTTTGAGGCTGTGCCATTCACTCAATTTCTTTTAGGACCTCTCCAGCATAATATCTGGTCGACCTGGAACAAGCATGCACCTTCTATTGACCTACCTATGCTCCTGTCCAGCCAAGCAAGGACGTCCCTAGCTTGGTGGATCTCTAGCCTAGCCTTAAAAGGGAAGTCTTTCTTCCTTATCACTGAAAAGTGAAAACAATTTTTCAGGCTGGGGAGGAGTGTTCCAGTCTCTCACAGTCCAGGGAACATTGCTGAAAGCCAAACTCCTCATTAACATCCTGGAGCTCAGTGAAAAAAGACAGAGTGGTCTCGGAGTCAGTCACTCCTACCTTGATAAAAGCAACTTCCAAAATATCTATAATTGTGCCTGGAGACTCTTCTTTGCTAGTACAGTTGCTCCAGAGCTTAATAAATGAGGTAAAAGCTTCCCTTTGCCAAGAATACCCAATCACATGCAAGGAAAATAATAAAAAAAAACAGCATTTTTTTGCTTGCACATGATTGGATGATGGAAGTCAGCAGATCTTCTGCTCATTTACTAAGTCTAATTGCCTTTAGTAAATTAACCCCTATGTGTCTCGCATTCTAGCCTTCCTATAATCTGAACTCGACGAGAATTTGACCTTAAGCACATTAAAAGGAAATGTTTGGCCTTGTCAAAATGAATCTAAGATCAGCCCCCCCGCAGCAACCTGTGCTACCTTGGGATCTCAACTTGGTTCTCTTTGGCTTGTGGAAACAGCCATTTGAAACAATCAGGGATATCCTCTTGAATGATCTCTACTGCAAAGTGACCTTTTTGGTTGCTATCACATCTGGCTCTCAAAGTTGGCAGCTCTCTCTCGTTAAGAGCCATTTCCCATTCTTCACAATGAGAAGGTAGTTCTACACCCAAGACCATCCATTCTTCCTAAAGCTGGCAATAGAAGGATCAAAATTTAGAAGGAACTGGCTGAATTTCCACCAGTGTGTAGCTGTCCCTGTTTGACAGAAGTCAATCTATCAAGTTCTGTCAAATGGAAAACTGCAGTGTGTGATCATTGTATTTTGACAGAGCCTGGGTTCCATTATCAGCATACAATGTCCCAGCAGAGGGGTTTCTTTCATTCACTTCATTTGTGTGGATGAAGGAATCTGTTAATATTTTTTTTCATTCAGTCCACTGGCTGAGCAAAATAAAAACAATTGCACATCAATGGTCAGCTTAAGGTGGTATCAGTCTTCCACCTCAATGAGGACATTATCCTTCCATCTGTATGCTCTGCTCCAAAGCACCCAAAGGAAATTTCTCTTCATTTCCTTGACATAGAAAGGGCCATCATAGTTTACCTCAAAGCAGCAGCTTCTATCAGGGTGTAGAATTTCCTTTTTTTACATATCCACAGGAACTTGTAAGGGACATCCTGCTTCCAAGTCAACTCATCACTAGAGTTTATATTCTTAAGGACAAATCTTCCTCCTGCGCCTTTGCCTGCTCCTCCACCATGTCAGTAGGAGTTTCCTGGACATTCAAGAACCAGGACTCTGTAGCACAGCTTTGTAAGGCCACCACACATGGTTCTCTGTTTACACCTTTTCAAAGTTCTACCAGGTGGACATTTGATCTTCTGCTGATGTAGCTTTTGTCCACAAGGTTCTTGCAGTGGCACTCTGAAGTTGGGTCTGTTGCAGCTGAAGTTCAGCTTCAAGTTTCCATCTTTGTAAGTTTGGAAACTTTAGACTCCACACAAGGGAGACTGAGCTCAAGATTGGCACTGCCAGTCGAAAGAAGACCAGAAATAGGCCAAAGAACAGAGTGGATGCACGTGGGGGCAGTGGTGTATTTAGGTTTTGTTCTGCCCTAGGCAACACAAAAATTGGCTCCCCCCCTTCACAGAGAGACCCTGACACCGACCAACGCCCCCCTCCCCCACAAAGGGAGCCTGACATTGATCAACAACACCCCACCCAGAAGAGCCTTCCATTACAACCACCCCCCATACAGTGGCAATCTCACCCCACCCTGGTGAGAGAGAAGACACTCCCCCTCACAGTTTTGGACATCCCCGTGAACAAGAGTCAGGCTCTGCATACACCATCAAGGAGCCTCTCTCAGATCCCACCTGGTCCCCATGCTGCGTGTGTCCCATCTTCCATCCATTCTTTCGGGGGCAGCACTGCCCCCCTGAAAAATGCCGCCCTAGGCAAATGCTTTGTTTGCCTTGTGGTAAATATGCCCCTGCATGGGGGAGAGGCATAAATGTGCAATCAATGTACAATACCTTTACAAATCTTCTGACAGGCAAACATTTAATATATATTGTCTAGAAGACAGAGTGCTCTCACCAAAAGTCAGTCACAGACTTGCAGATAAAGTTGTTATAAATATTTTAATAGCTGTGCATGGACAATGTGCACAAAACAGTTTGTATGGATGGAGATGAATGTCACAGATCATATTCCTAAAACAAAAACATCACAGAAATCTGGCTGAATATTTACATACACAATAAATTCCCTCTCGTACCCATTTGTAGAGCATAATGTGCAGCAGCTGCCCTGTCATTGAGAATGTGGTGCTCAGTTCTCCAGGATGACAAGAGAGTTCAGAATTCAGGAACTGGATGGTGTTTACGGTGCAAGGGGACAATTCTCTTTCTACCAAGGAAGATGCAAATAAACATAAGAGATGTAAACAGTCACAAAAAAATGTAACTATGTTCTGTTCCAAAAAGCAAATGATCTCTAATCAAAAATCAAACTGGATGCTTGAAAATCATTTTTCCCTCTAATTGCCTGTGATACATCAGATTTCACAATATTTTTTGCTACCCACATCTTTACAATCACTCAAACCAGGGGTGGGACTGACCATTTGGAAACTCGGGCATTGCCCGAGGGCCCGGGGTCAGTATGGGGCCCCATGAGATGCCCCTGGTACCTTTTTCATAGGCTTGAGTTTGGGCAAGGACACAGGAGCCCCATGATCCCCTATTGCCCAGGGACCCCATGAGTTGTCAGTCCACCCCTGACTCAAACCATATGTGTTTAACTTACTTCTTCCCCGCCTAGGTATGGGTGATGTAGCCTTTTCCGCACCGAGCCTCCTAGGATAAAATGTCACACACCCTAGAAGGCTGCAGGACCATAGATGCCTTGTGATAGCTCCTGACTATGGCAACATGTAATGTTTATGACATTGCACCAGGAAAGGACAATGTAGGATTCGCTGGTCTTGTAAGTACATTGGATAACTGTCATATAGTGAAATAATTTTCATGGGCATGGGGAAAAAGTCCACTTTAATCAAGGGGCAAAAACATGGCATTTTTCCCCAAAGACCACCAGACACCAGCAAGTAATGACACTTTGCTTGTACGGGTGCCATCATTTCGCTGCTTGTACCTAGCCAATCACTTGACTAGAACAAGCATGCAGCCAATGATGTCTGGACTCTTGTTCTGCATACGTGTTGCAGATAGGTGACGCACTAAATATCGAAGTCAGGTTTAGAAGGGCAGCTTCAGTTTTTTTATACTCCCAGGATCAGAATGATAGCCCCAGAGATAGGCAGCTCTAATGTTTATACTCCCAAGCTCACTTTAGAAGCCCTAAGAGGCAGCCCACTTATGTTTTACACCACACCACTTTGAATGAGGGGTTGTCTCCTAGATGCACAGAAAGTTTTAATAGATTTATAGAACACCTTTTAGTTTAACTGCCTGGGCCATGTGCAGCACTTTTAAAGCTCAGGAATAGAGCAGGCTGGGGACTCTGAGTCATCCCAGCAAGCCTCGTGTCTTCAGACTTGGGGCCCTGAGGAGGGTCTATAAAAGCGAGTGAAATTCGGGTCTGTCTGTTGCCCCCCCCCGTAACGATCTTACTCGCTTCTCTCTGGCGCAATGTATGAAAAAAGATGCGGGTCTTTAAGGTTTATGCTCCCTGTCTGGACTCATGCAGAATGGCTCCAGTCTCTCGCTGTCAGGCAGCATAGCATTTAGCTTCTCCATCAGTGGCACCGTCTGATCGATCCCCATCTGAATCCGTCTCAAAATGGCTGACATCTCGTTCACCTTCTGGATCTGCTCGGCATATTTGGCAAAACGCTTTTGGCGTTCCTGCATGTAGCTGTACAGGGTATCTACAGAAGCGTCCATCTGTCGCATGAGTAAGAGAAGAAAATGATACAATTTGCATTACAAAAATGTCCACAAGACGCCGACCCCCCAAATCCAATGTTGCTCAATTTAAAAGGGGACCTATCTGCATAGAAACATGGGAGCTGCCATTACTGGCCAGCTTTTAAAAGGTAATGCCTAAAGCCGTCATCCTTATCCCATCATCCTATCACTTTTTCTGTGGTTAACCTTTATACAAGACTTCCCCTTTGGTTGCCTGTGTAAAGCAGATCAAGTTGGCCTGGAGTAGTATGCTGATGTAGGGGGATGGAGCAAGTCACTATGTACTCTGGCATCCTGGCCACTAGAACTTTCCCCATTGACTGACATAAGGAGATTAATTTATTAAAACTAGAGTGCAAAATCTTGTGCAGTTATGCTTGGTAGCCAATCAGCTTCTAACTTCAGCTTGTTCAATTAAGCTTTGACAATAAAACCTGGAAGCTGATTGGTTTCAATGCAGCACAACCCTCTGTAATGGTATACAATGTGTCATAGTGTGCTGGTGCGCTCATTAATGAAAACAAAGTATTTTGGTTTCTGCTGTGGGGAAAAAAATGTACATCAATGCAATGCATTAAATGCATATCAACACCCATCAGCTGCAAAAGGTGCATATAGGAACCTTCATACCTTTGTGATTTAAAATGTTACTAAACCTACAACAGTAAAATCAGTCTGTATATGCAGTATAAATACTCACTGTGGAACCTAAGGGGTTAATCCTCAATTTGCAAAAAGGTTGTTTGATTCTGTCTTCTCTGCTCCTGATAGTAAAGAGCTATAGGAGTCACTCTGCACATGCTCAGTTTAGTATGTATTGTTAGAGGTTTTTTTTTTCTTTGGGAGGGTGCATGTGATCAGCACAGGGCCAATCAGCACTGTCCAGACAGAGGGTCAGGGATCAGGCAGCCTCATAGGACAGTCAGAGAAGAATAAAAACTCCTCCTACAAGATTAACCAGTGCTTGGCTGGACACTGATAAAAGTCACAAGACTGCTATATACTGCTTATGAGAAAAGGTATTTAGCAGTTTATATTTACTAAAATAATTGCATTTCCATGTTCTACGCACTGCGGGAGACCAGATATAGTGAATGCAGGCTCCTGGGATTAGTAACACTAACACGCACACTGTAACAAGTCAAAGCATGCACACAACTTTGCCATTGTTTTCGATGTTAGTCCACATCTGTGCTCTGCGCAGTGTTCAAGTCCGTTTTTTTAGCCTATCAACATGTGTTATACGCCCCATGGATGGCAATGGCAGCACATATAAACACATGTAACATGCATTTAATAACATTTCCAGCACATGGTAAGCAGCCCCTCCCGAAACAACCTCAACTTTACTCAGCATTACCTTGACTGACAGAACCCAACAAAGCAGCACATAACACGCATAAACATGCATTAATACACTCCTTAAAATGTGCATAAAAATTCAAACATCAAACAGGGAAAGGTGTAAACCTTAAAGTGTGCTAAACACAATGCACATAGTGTGAATTCAGCCTGCATGTTAAGCCACATACACATGGGTGCTTTTTGGGCATCTAACAAATTGTGGGCATATTTCTGTGCCCAGGAGACACAGATGGTGCATACAGCTGCCCATAATAATTAATGGCTGTACACAGGCTTACACAGCTTTCTGCATAAATCCATTCATGAATACGGTCATATAACCCTGAATGCAGAAAGTCTGCATCCAGGGGGCGTATGGCTTTATGCATGTGCTGGTTTAGGCAAGTAGCAATGCAAACCTGCATACAGCCATTAATTACTATGGGCAGTTGTATACAGCAGCTGGGGCTCCCAAACACGAAAATACAGCCATAATTTACATTTGATGCATGAAAGTACCCGTGTGCATGAGGCCATACCATGTCAGTGCTGTTTTTATGGTCTTGCCCAAATTCCACCCATATGAAAACATCCATGCATGCCCATATGATCAGTTAGATGCAAAAACTGTTGTCACAGAAAACTAGAGTGTCAACATGAGTACCAAGACATGTAATAATGGCTGTTGTATGCGCACCCTACTGTGCTCCTCTCTGATCGCGCTTACCTCTTTTATACGTTTTACCAGTGCGTTCTGGTCGAAGGCTACTGCCTCAGCGCACTGGTGTAGATGATCTTGGTAGCGCACACACAGCTGCAGCACCTGCGGGGAGTCAAGACGCTCCAGACGTACATTGGGTGGGGACGTCTGGCCGCTCAGAAGACCTGCAAGAAGAACAAAGGGGTAAGCAAGACCAGATTAAGACTCAGATGCATTAGAAATCCAATGAGCCCAGGACAGGCCGGCTGAGGAGGAAAGAGCTAGATAATGATGGACATCATTCAGCCAGGAAATTAAGTGGGCTCTGTCTAACTTGCTGCAGTTTCTAATGCACAATGTGTGAAGCTCACAGTGTGCAGTGAAATCAGAGTAAGCAATTTCAGTACAGCAGAGGAGTCTGTACAACTAAAGGGAAGGCTGGAGCTCAGATTTAAATAAACTGGATTTTTCTTCTTGTACATGATTGGATGAATGAAGAGAATGAGCTCACTTACTTAGTTTGGTGAACGTTCACTTTTATAAGTGAACAATCTATACGCCTTATTTATAAAACTGACAAATGAAATGTGGCATTATATTTTACCAGCCGTTTTCCACTCGAAAAAAATGGCAACTGTCCCAATCTATAACCAGACTTAGCAGTAAGGTGCACATGGAAGGGCAATGCACATCACAGACAAACAGAGGATTTCCCAGCAACACTTACCAGCCAGCCTGCAAAACAACCAATTTGGCCCTGTCTAAGAGTTTGCTTTAAAAACGAAAGAATACTCAGAATGGCAAGCACTCATTGATCGGCATGATCAGGAGAAGCACTTCTTTCTTCTGGGACATGTTTCCAAAAAAAAAGAAGCCTTAGATGTGCTTCTCATTGGTCAGCACGGCCACAAGGCTGTGCTGACTGATGAGCGCTTGTCACTGCAAACATTATGATGGATAGTGACTTTTGGGCGGTGTATTGCAGTGTATGAACCGCTACACAAATGACAAGGGGCATCACAGCCGCTATGTGCAGCACGATGCATAGAATTGGATAGGATATTCGGAGTTAATTCACCTCTTCATTTTTCGTGAAAAGGTGAATCTAAATATATTTCTCTGTATATCCACAACAGATAAAAATCCACTTTGTGTGCACTAAACACCTTTGCAAACTGTTATTACTTTTTAAATTCAGCAGTGAAATAAACACTATGTTGTACCAGTGTGATTTTCTTTGCCAAAAATATTTTTGTCATAATTTTCATCAATTGCATGTTTTCATTGACAAAAACTAAACAAAAATCAATTGCAATTTTTTTCAAGCAACAAAAATGGAATGAAAATATGAGGGAGGGATGTTTACCCATCTGAACTTCAGCTTTCATCAGAGCTCTGCCTATCTGTTAAAGCCCCAGCCCCCTGACTCTATCGGCAAGCTGTAATGGCCGAGAGACGCAGGCTTCCTCTGTCTGTCTGCTGCCTGGAAGTTCTGGAACAATGACCTGTAAACCACAAAATAGGAACTCCTTCGTTGGATTCACATCTCTCTAAATGTGATGAGTGTTTCTTCCGCCATCAAGGTAACAGTGCTTAGCACTGTGTAAAACACCAGCCTCCCCAGACCATCCAGTTCCCTGTCTTGTGCACTACCTCACTCCCATTTACTTCCCCATCCTCACTTTCTGGTCACCTCCCAATCCCCAAAGTATAACGCACCCTGCCCTGTACACTACCTCACTCCCATTTACCCACGTGCCCTGTACACCTACCTCACTCCCCATGCACCTGCCCTACTCCCTCACTCCCATTTACTTCCCCATCCTCACGTTCAGGTCACCTCCCAATCCCCAAAGTATAATGCACCTGCCCTGAGTACTCCCCCTGATTTACTTCCCCATCCCACGTTCAGGTCACCTCCCAATCCCCAAAGTATTGCACTGCCCCACTCCTCACGTTCAGGTCACGTTCAGGTCACCTCCCAATTCCCAAAGTATAAAGCACCCTGCCCTGAGTACTCCCTCACTCCCATTTACTTCCCCATCCTCACATTCAGGTCACCTCCCAATCCCCAAAGTATAAATCACTCTGCCCTAAGTAATCCCTCACTCCCATTTTACTTCCCCATCCCCACTTGCAGTTTAAATCTGTGTCTTTAGTGCATGTTCAAACCTTAATACCATAAATAACATATTAGATTTTTTTTTACTCCAGGAGTATGAGTTGGAAATTCTAGAGAAATGCTTAAATAATGTATTACAATTTACATAAACCCATTAGATTTTAGTCAGCTAAAATGTACTGGAGATTTTAGTCAACTAAAATCTAACAAAAACTAAAACAATTTGGATGACTAAAATACGACTAAAACTAAAATGGCATTTTAGTCAAAAGACTGACTAAAACTTAATCAAATTTGATGTAAAAATTAATTGTACATGATCTATGCAGAGAGCAGAGCCATGAGATGAACCCAGCAGGTCTCACCCACTACCGGCTGCCTGCAGAAAACTACAGGAGGGGGCAGACACAAGACCAGTCATCCTGCACATGGAGAGAGAGCCACAGTGACTGGTCTTTATTACAGGAAGCTCCTGCACAGAGGTAAAGTTTCACACTGGACTACTGCACAGATGGAGGAAATAGACAAATCATACCAAGATTCAAAGAAGAATACACATGACTCGTATATTTAGATGATATTTGTTTTGCCTGGAGTTCAGCTTTAAAATAAATGTAAACCGTAATGGGAGAAGATAATGTAGGGATCAGGGGCGGACTGACAACTCATGGGGCACCCGGGCAATAGGGGATCATGGGGCCCCTGTGTCCTTGCCCAAACTCAAAAAAGCCTATGAAAAAGGTACCAGGGGCATCTTGTGGGGCTCCTACTGACCCCGGGCCCTCGGGCAGTGCCCGAGTTTCCAAATGGTCAGTCCCCCCCTGGTAGGGATGTGTATGGGAGTAATAGACAGGTTAAGATAGGAATGGTTAAAAAGGAGGTGGACAGGGTAATTAATGGGTGAGTAGAGAAGGATGGATAGGGGTTTGGTGTTAGATAGGAAGGTTTATAATATTTAGTGGGATTAAAGATATTGTGAGAAAATTGTATATTGTTATTTGTTTATGTACTAAAATGAGATTTAATAAAAGACGATAAAAAAAAAAAAATTCAAAATAAAATAGATGTAAACCCAATCACTAAAATCTCATAAAATGTTTACCATGTTATTATCATTTCAAAATGCACTTTCAGTCATTTTAAACCTGCAATTTTTGTTTAAATAATCCCTGACAATCCTACCATGAAGGTCCTTATTCAAGCTCTTCCTGTTATAAGTTGACAACTCTCTGTACCCGTCTCCCAACTGTGCTCCTGCATTGTCACATGGGCTTCTGAAGGAGACTCAAAGTGAGCATTTCAACTCACATTACCTATGCATGGTCCACAGTTGTCACCTCCAGGAAACCTGTCCTGAGAAATGCCATGCAGCCATCCTTTAGGTGCATATGGACAGGACGTGGCTGCAAAGAGGCCACAGTGGATCAACATCATTGAGATGTAATATAAGATTAAAAAGGTTTTTTATTAAAAAAAAAATAATATAATTTGTTTATGATACACAGTGCACAACGTAAACTAAAAATACCTTTTTTTAGGATTTACATCTACTTTAACCTTTTGCTTGAGATCATCAGCACTCAGATGCATCAAAGAATGAAAATAGTATGACAATAAGCAAGTTGTAAACGGCATTTTGTACTTCAGCAAAATAAGTATTGTTCGGTTAGGGTTTCCTTTCATTTGAACTTTTCACTTCACCCTGCTGTAATAAGGCTCCTCTACTCCCCAGTAATGTCATGCCTTCCTTTGTGTACATATATGAGGATTCTCCATACAGATCTATGAACAGGAGATTTCTGCCTATCAGATGTTCCCATGCACAGATCAGAGATCTTGGGATTGCAGGGAGCTGTGACAGTGAAGGGTTAAGCAGGCAGGGATGTCTGCAGCCAGGGCTGACCTCACTCCATTCTTATCGGCTGATGTCATACAAAGATCAGCTCCCCCCTCCCCCCACTTATTGTCAGGCCCAGGGCCTATTTAATCAGGGCAACACAAAACAGAATGGCGTCATTTGCAGTCGGGAAAAGAATACTTTATTTCATGGGAATTTCTAGATGATCAGCTTTTTACCGGATATCTCACTCTGCTCCTGGCCACATGGGTATCAGGCTTCGCTTGTATTCAGCCCAAAAATGTTACTAAAGTAGGTTTTGCTGTAATATTCATGCTGCAATCATCTAGATAATTTTTAAATGATAAAGATTAGGTTCACAATTAAGTTTTATGGGGATAAAAAGTATTTAAACTCTGGCAACTGTGCCATAAAAGTTGTAAAAGATACGACTTAACCCTTGTGTGGCTCAGTGGATACACAGCTAAAGGATATTGATCCGAATGTGGCTCTAAATTGGGTTCATTTGGAGACCAGTCCCTAGTGGTGTACCACAAGAATCATTACAAGGCCCTGTTCTGATTAATAGACACGTGCCCAATGTATAAAAATTTGTTTCCTTTCGTTTGGGATCGCTTCGTTAAGTTACTAATTTTGTTTAATTTCATTCATAACGAAATTCGTTTAGCTTAGTTTTGTTTACTCATTTTTGACCAGATTCAAATTTTTCCAATGGATTTGAAGTGTTTGAATCAAATTTGAATTGAAAATAATGAATCGATCCAAATTCATTGTGTAGAATAGCTGGTTCAACTCTATTTAAAATTTGAATTTTGGAAGTTCTATTCTATTCTTTTATTTTCTGTTCTGGTCTATTCTATTCCTTTATTTTCTATTCCATTTTATTCTATTCTGTTATTTTCTATTTTATTTTACTCTATTCTTTTCTATTCTGCTTTATTCTATTCTTTTTAAAAATCGAATTTCCGAAGACGGGTATATTCTTTGTATTGTATTTTTTTCTATTCTAGTCTTTGTATTCAATTTTTTTCTATTCCAATCTATTCTTTTTTTTTTTCTATTCTATTCTTTTCTATTAAAATTATTTTCTAAAACTTGAATTTTGGAAAATGGCTCTACTCTAACACTAATACACATAGGCTTTGGAGGAAATCAGTAATATGTTAATATTTTGCAATTGTTTTCAAATTTGATTTTGCTCCGAA